GTCTTTTTTACCATTCCACTTATCCCTTCCCACATCTGCTTGACGTTGCACTCCAGGCCTCCGTTGGCCCTCTGCATTAGTTCGTCCCAAATGCACTTTTTCTTCTTTTTCAGTAGTCCCTTCACCTGTTTTTTCTTGGCCCTGTACTTTTCCCAACTCTCCTCAGACGCCTCACTCAGGTACTGCTTGAAGACTTCTCTACGTTCCCCTATTTCTTCTTTCAGCTCGTCATCCCACCACTTAACCGATACCCCACATCGTACCACCTTCCTTCCCACTACTCTCTCTGCCGTTGCGTTCACGATGGACTCCCACCCTTCAATCACCCTGTCCCCTGCTGTCTGTACGTCTACCTGTCCGTCTTCGACGCTTCTCAGCAGTTTCCTGAAGGATTCTACACTACCAGCCAGCCCCTTCTGGAATTCATCCCGTGTCCCATCGTCTCCCAAACGCTCTACCTTCCACCGCAACACTTTCCTCTGTTTCTTACTCTTGATCTTTCTAGATCGGTCGATGTTTGCCCATATGAGGAAGTGGTCGGTCGAACCTATATCTATCGCACTCACGTGCAGCTCTGGGATCTGCGTGCTCCCCCTATCTACCAGGATGTAGTCGAGGATCGAGCATTCATTGCAAACTGCCCGTTGCCTGATGAACTCCGGCTTATCGCATTCTCTCTTACCGTTCAACACCATCAGTTCGTTGCTTCCCAAGAATTCAAGCATCCTCACTCCGTTGTCATTCACTTTGTCTTCTCCGTGCTGCCCGATCGCCTGTCCTCTACTGGAAGCTTTCCCTACTCTGGAGTTGAAATCGCCCACCATGACAACTTCTCCCTTCCTACTGAACCTCTGGACATCTTCCCCAATTTGTCCAAAGTTCTCCTGCGCCTTGCTTGCGACTTTCTTCGACGACGGTGGGACGTATACGTTCCCTAGAAACAAGTCTTTCTCACCCCGCTCCCCAGGTATCTTAAGCCATAGGCTTTGCTTGAACTCTGTTTTCACCACTATTCATACCACGTCAAACAAGTGTTCCTTGACCAGGAATCCGACTCCCCCCTCCCCCCTTTTCTTCGGGTCTAAGCCCTTTCTTGCCTTCCCTACCCACCGGTATTTCCCTAGTTTGCTTACCACGTCCCCATCCTTCAATTCCCACGTCTCTTGGATCCCCACTACATCTAGATCGCTTTGTTCTACTTGGTCCACTATTTCCAACCGCTTGCGCTCACTCCTTGCGAACCCGCACACGTTCCACGACCCGACTCTTAGCTTGCGCTTTTCCCTATTGGAGATTTTGCGCACACCATCGTTCGCCTTCCGCTTCTTCTCGGACTTCTTCTGACTTGCTTGCTCGACTGCCCTGCTCGTTCCTTTCTTCGCCTCCGTCGCCCTCGCCTCTTGTCTCCTTACCTTCTCTGTTTCTATCATGTTCGCGATGCAAACCCTCCATCCAAACTTCCTTACGTAGTTCGACAGCTTCTCGATGTCAACCCCAAAGCACTCTTGACTGTCTCCCTTTGTCA